TTCGTCGTCTCTCTCTCTCTCTCTCTCTCTCTCTCTCTCTCTCTCTCTCCCTCCCACGGTGCGATATCGATCCATGACCCAACTTTGTTCCTCGCTTTTGCCAGGCGACATACGAGCCATTTAGAGTCGAATCGGAAACAACGTTCAACGCTGTTCCCATGGTCGGGCAGAGGTTTAGGATAAACGTAAACCCGAAATTGATTTAGGAAAACTTCTCGAGAATTAATGACCCGATATGCTAAACAAGAGCGAATCTAATCTTCCGCCGCTTTGAAATATCCTCTCTTTGGAAAATGCTAACAAGCGCGCTGCAAAATGTGATAGATCTTAATCGCTTAGTTTTTGACCGTCCGAAGAATTTTGAGGCTTTTTTTCCATCGGGACGGGAACGCGCAAACATCTTATTATTAATTTCGCCATAAAAGGCAATTATGTAATAGACGCTAGATTTGCAAACAATCGGTCCGATAGCGAAACCGTATGCAGATTTATACGATATCACTTTGTAAACCGGCTGTGGCGGCTCGTTAATTGCGCACAATGATAGCGCGCGAGAAAAACAATTTCGCGGGCGAATCAATGAGGATGAACGTCGCCGACGAACGTGTGCGTTTACGGTATGTAGCGTTGCTACATTTATTTAGTTATTGCGCGAATCAAGAGCAATCATTTGTCAATAAGCCTCGCCACCAACCGCGATTTCTGTGTCTGTCTGTCTGTCACCGGGAGCGGGTTATCTCCCGTGCCAGGCGCATTTCACGAATAATCGAAGCTATTCCGCTCCCGTTAATAGATTCACCTTTTCCGCCAGTGCACATAACGAAGGTCAATAATTCGATAAAACTATTTATGTGTCGGACGAGGAATTCGACGATAGCACGTGTTATTGGAACGTCGATTGTCCTTATGCAAATCAATCATCGCGGCGAAGTCGCGCCGCGTATGCCGCGATATCACCGTTTATTTGTTATTTTAATAAAAGGCTTATGCAAACGCAGTTCCGATTTCAGTGTCCGCGAAATTGCGACCATTACGGAAAATCGATGGCCATAACCGATTCGGAAATATTTGACTTCAATACAATTTTTCTCAATTCCAACACAGGTTTTTATTTAAATATTTTTTTTTGTTGATTTAATTTAACGTTCGATGACATTTTTATAATTTGAGATTAATACTAGAAACACTGAGCAGTCAGTCTGACCGTTCCTATTTTTTTTTCTTTCTTTTTAATTTGATATTTTTTTGCTTCGTATTGAAGATACGAATTTTCTAACTTTTCATCAACCAATTGTTCTCTTTATTCTGATGGAATATTGAAATCAGCAGAATTTTGATGCAAGAAGTTGATGCCTGCATAAAAAAGTATTAATTGAAAAGAAGAAATAGAAACGGTCGAAAGTGATCGCTTGGTACTGCTAATGTTAATTTCATGCATTGTTTATTTTAAAATTCTAATTCCATTAAAATACATTCTAAAATGCAGCACTAATTGGTTCCTCTATATGGAATAGCGAATTATTCTCACGTCGTAACTGCGCGATAATCTGCGCAACGGTACCACCATCTGCATCTTGAAAACACATTTTACCTGCACGTAATTGGCTACCACGATACAGTCCGAGTCATTTGCGGAAGATATTACGTCACTCGCCTGGTTGCACCTGGTATTGTTCTGATCTGCACTATAGATTTCCGTCTCGCGCGTCTCTTCGACAGACGAATTATTTCGTATAATGAAGAAACGTTTCACATTTGTACGTTCTAAAAAAACGCGAGTTCTAGAGTCCATGTGTATTTTTAGCGATATGTAATTAGTTTTTTTTTTATTTACGA